TGCTGCTTCATTTTCTCGATTCTGTACCATTATCAGTCTCGAGTCTATACCATTATCAATCTATCGTAACTCCTTTGCCGATCGATGTTTCATTCATACGTATTTTTCAACGAAAGCAGTGAGAAATTCACGCGTATCAATTTCGTTTCCTATTTAAATGCATTTCCTTCGAAAAGTATGTAATTTTTCTTGGTATATTCCTTTTCAGTAAACGCTTTCTTTCCAAGTTCACGAATTTCTTTGGTTTGCAATACGAATATTCTGTTGCCGTCAATAATGGCGCAGTTGAATTATCATATTTGTGTTGGTGGTTGTTTAGCGATTGTTTGTTATAAGAATTATAAAATTGTGAAGTTACAAGTTGATCTGGAATTCACTTCGAACGTGCGAGTGTCATAAATTCCACATAGGTGTTGTTGATTTTGTCAAGTAACTCTGCTAATTGGACTTACAGGCAGACCACAAAGCACCGATAGAAATGGTTGTTGATATCAGTAAGATGGATCGATACGTCGGGCCGGTTAGTTTGCTTGTTGTTTGACTGCGTTTCGGGCACTTTGGATAGTTTAATCTAGTGTGGTGCGAGGAATCTCGGGGATATGTCCCCGAAAATTAATTTTTTTCAGCGCCACTGACTCTTTCTTCAGCCGTGGATATTTTCGAGGAATTTTTCGTCCCTGATTTTCCACGTCTTCGGCTTTTTTTGCGTCATCACACTACACTAGTGTAATCAATGCATTGGATTCAGAATTTTGCTGAAATCGCTAGCAAAACATTTGTATTGACATCAAGCGAAACTTTTGCAAAAAACAGTTTCAGTGGTGCGAAATTGGATCCAAATTTGTTTCAGGTGAATCCGTCACTTTATCCTCAGTTAACCGTTTTGCTGCTGGGAATTGGTCTTTTCTTCATGGCGTGGTTCTTCGTCTATGAGGTTATTTCTAAATCGTTTTGCCTCTTTTTTCCTGATTACTCCGGCCAGTACGACAGACCAGTCTTTCAACTGTTCACATAACATTGTTCACAAGCAATGCGCTCATCAGTCTTCTACATTGTGGGGGAGGTTGCTGATAGGGGACATATCCAAATGGATGGAAGTCATCTATGGAGATAGAAAGTCGATGAAATGTATGAAGGATCTGGAGAGCATTTCCTGATATGTTTGACAATTAGGGCTGTACGAAACTACAGTTTGATTTAGATTATAGTTCGGGCATTGCAGGTTATTTGATATTAGGTGATTCGAGTGATGAATATCCGTTTTGGGGACATTCTTATGGGATTCTGAATATTCGATATTGCAGGTCACATCGACCAAGTACACTCGTATGTTACTGAAAGAACTTCTGATTGCCTCAGTGGCGGCATTATTCCTTGGGTTTGGAGCGGTTTTCTTGATGCTTTGGGTGGGAATTTACGTTTGAATTGGTCAAATTCAATGCAATCGACAAGTGTTTTTCACTTTGCTTAAGAATGCCTGACTCTTGGTTATTTATTAATTGTTCTATTGGGAAAAAACGATAGAGATTGGCTGTTGTGAAACATCTGCTGTTTTCTTTGATTATTCTTTTGTATACATCTATGTGCTCGTTTTTGTCGCAGATTATTGGCCAAAATTGATAATTTTGTGATACGTTGCCGTTGTTGTTGTTGTTGATAATGGTTAACTGAGAAGAAGTCTGTTTTCG